TTCTCTCTTGTGATTACATTGCAAAACAGTTAATGAAGGGGTTCCTGAACACTGGAGGAGCTGCAGACAGTTGGACTCACACTAACTTTTTTTTCAGAGACTGGATGAATTACTTCTTAAAATGCAATTTCCACTAGCCATACTGTTTGGGGGATGCTGGGAATTTTGATTTTAAAAGGTAACTTTTCTGAGGTCTGCAGCTCTCAAGAGGAGCATGTCCTTTTGGTTCATAGTGTGCTTTCAGAGCACTTGGAATGTCTTATTTATTTAGAATATTTTTACCCTGCCTTTCTTCTCGAAAGGATCCAAGGTGGCTGGCTCATTTGTAGAAATGGCAAGCATAGATGCACTAAACTGCAAAGGACCCACCAGCACTGGTGTTCTTCACCATTTGGAAAGAACGTCGTAGGAATTCATAGTGCTCATTGTGATGAAACTGGAAGCTGGAAAACTGCAGAGCATCAAATATTGATGTCTTAATATAAGGAACGGTGGCAAGCAGCCATGGCAAAAAAAATATTAATGTATTAACTTAAGTTAATGTAAAGGGAACCTAAATTTGTGATTTCCTTTCATAAACAAATCAAGGGCCTAGGCAGAAATATTTCTCTCTCTATAATGCAAATCTTCGAAATGCCAGTGGATCCCCTTAGGCCTGTACCTGAAAAATCAAGGGAGAAGAGTGTTTTAAAGCCACTACCTTCTGTGAATAATCAGATTGCAAGTCCATTGCTGCAGCAGGCCATCTCCGGTTTGGAGAGAGTGAGGCCTCTTTGGGAATCTAGCATCACACTTGGCAAGGAAAGTAACATTTCATAGCTGTCAGTAGGTGCTTGGTGATGTGCAGAACATTGCCAAGTCAGCTCAGCAGCCAACAGAGGTATTGGGTAAGGCTCGAAGCACGTGTCTTGTCTTCTCTTTCTCTGTACAAAAGGAAACAATTACTCATGCCCCCTGACCCCTTTGCCTTCACTGTACAGCCCTGCTGCCAAAACAGCTGAAATTCTTTTTAAAAAAGAGTCCAAGTTATACAAAATTTGTACAACTTATTCTTAGCACAGATATGGGGCTTTACCGGCACGCTTAAGTATCTGCTGCTTCCTCGTCCAAATATCATTCCTGCTTGTAACTGCTTGAGCTAATACTAAATGGAATGTAATAGACGCGCATACATGTTCCCTGGGGATCAGATGTTCCATTAGGAGTTTGTCCATAAACAGCTAATTAATCCTATTAATACAAGAGATTAATTTCCATCATTAAGTAAGTCACATAAAAGCCTCATTCAAGCATGGCTAAAAGTGCAGGGGCAGAGTCTAGCACATACAGTTGGATTCTTTGCTCCTCATCTTCTAAATTCAGTGGGACTAATGCCTGTGCACGTATAATATCGCAGGCTTAAAACAGCTTGGTCCTGGGGCCAAACCTTCCTCTCCTGGAGTTCTTGTTTGGCCCCTGATGGTTCCCTTGATGGATCCACACTCACTTCCCCATGACACCATCATTTGGTGGTTTCCCACATTTTGCAGATTTTCCTCTTCATTCTCAGATATACAGATCCCTTTGCTAAGGCTTAGTTGGTGAAAGTAAGAGCGATACGTGAAAAATATGCTGGTACATTTGGCCCTGCCGTTTTGCTTTCGGTCCTGTCCAGCACCGAAATGTGTTTTCCCCACTAGTTATCTACATAAGAATTTAGCCTTTAGGCTGAAAGAGGTTCTCTGGGCTTGTTTTACATTTGCCGCATTCATTTTTCCTAAATTCCTCCCATAATAAGATTACTTCCTGGCTAAATGTGTGTACAGTACAGTGGTGCCTCGACTTACGAACGCCCTTACCTACGAACATTTTGACTTACGAGCAGCTCCGGCCACAAAACTTAGCTTCTCCTTTCAAACAGAGCATCCACGTACGAACAGAAAAAGGCAGGGAAAAGGGGCGGGAAATTCAAACATACTAACCGTCGGTGGCGAAGAGGCTGCTTTTTTGTAGCTCTTTCACCCCAACGGTTAGGGAAAGGGATGTTGGCAGCAGGGGTGGCCCAGAGCCAGGAGGCTTGAGCCTGGCCGGGTGCTCCAGCTGCTCGCCTCCCGGCGGGCTCCACTAAGGCCAGGGTTGGTGCTCCTTGCTGCCCTCAGTGGGCCGCTTCACCCAGCTCCAGAACTGGTGTCAGTAGCTACCCGCAGAGGGCATTGAGGAGCACCAAGGACTGAGGCAGCTGCCCTGGCGAGCAGCCGCTGGTTCCAGAGCTGGGGGCACCAGCGGCAGCGAGAAGCGCTGCCCCCGGCTGGGAGGCCAGCGGCTGGACCATCCTCGGCGTGCTCAGCCTCCCAGGCTTCGCAGCGGCGGTTTTGGGGCTTCTGTTTATTATTATTTTTTTTTAAGCCCCAGCACCTTCCGATAGGGCTTTCTTTGTGCTTTTTAAAAAATTTTTTTAAATGTTGGAACGGATTAATCCCGTTCCCATGCATTTCACTGGGAAATGGTGCTTCACGTTACGAGCATTTCCACTTACGAACATCTTCTGGGACAGATTAAGTTTGTAAATTGAGGCACCACTGTAACTTTAAGCCTCTTCCCCCTCCCTTTTTTTTGGCTAATCAGATATCCAGTTTACCCCATTGTTTCCTTCAAAGACAACATTGTTTCAGAATGTCTAGCAGGAATATTGGCAAGTATTTGGGTCTGAGTACCAGGTACTGGGTCCAAGTCCTTGGTACCAAGTCCCCATTAAAAATAAACTTTTTGCACCAGAAAAAGGGAGGGTTGGGTATGTTCGTTCTCTCTCTGTCTCTCTCTGTGTAGGTCTGAAGCCTGTGAACCACCCACCCACCCACTTTTGGTCCCATCTGTTGTGCCTGCCTTGCCTTCCCTCACCCCTCAACCCCCCTCTCGAAAACCCTCCTCTTGAAAACCCTCCCTCACCTCTTCTGACGCTTGCCTGCCTCTTCTGGCGAGTGTCGCAAAGCTTCTTCCAGGTTTACGGTGCCCTTTGTTAAAAGAATAGGGATTGGAAAATGTGACTTGCAAAAAATGGGTCCCAAGTCGTACATTGAGTCTGGGTCACCGGGGGGGGGGAACCGACTGGAGTCTTAGTCGCAGGTGCGACTTAATTCTGACTGGGCAGTTGAGTCCCATGACTCAAGTCCCCATTCCAGATGTCTGGAAGTTAAAAACTGCTGAGAAAAGGTGGAAGGTGAATGAGTTGGCGGTCTACAAGCACTCCTGGGATGGAACAGATTTTGAAGGAAAGAAAGAATGCAAAGGTTTTGTATCAATCCCTCTTCTCCGTGTGATTATTCCTTCTCTGTATGCCATGGCAACTATCAAGTCTCGAATTGTGGGTCATTAGGTTATACATTTCTAGATAAAGTACTTTGAGCTTAAAGTCCATTTTCAGAATATAAGACTAGTCATGAGTTTGAGATAACATATAGAACAAGTTGTCAAAGTAGCTTCTGTTTCTCATTCCCTAAGTTGACTTTTATAACCATTCTCGTGGCTGAAACAGAAACATAGGCTGCTCTTGGTGACAACCACCTCACTTCCTGTTTCTTAACAGCTTCTGTGTCTGAACAGCTGTATAGTAGCAGGTCAAGGAACTGCATGAGTTAGTGCACTGGTCTTCAGTTTGGGGCACAGCTTAGAAGAGTTCCTGTTTTGGACTGCCCCCTTCCAGAATTGTATGAATTCTGGGTACTGGTAGTTCAGAAGAGAAACTTTTCTGAGTTTTCGTTTGCAGTTTGTGCACTGACCTGGGCTGTTACAATGGGAGAGTTGTCATTTCTTTAATTTACTGCTCTTGAGAAACCAAAAAGTTGGGTCGGGGGAAGGAGAGAGATGGACATGTGTGGTAAACTGTTCATTCTGCAACATTTTGCTGCTATATGGCTGCCAGTTTCCATTTACTCATAAAATCAAGTATAGTTTCTGGTTTCTCACAGTAATAAGCAAGAACAAGTGGAATGACTGAGTTAGGGTTCGGAAATGAATGGCCTTCCAGATGGCAGTTTTCATCATCCTATTCTGGTTATGGCTGATGTTTGTTGCTGTCCAACAACATCTGAAGGGTTATGTCATCCCCAAACTTGATCTAGGTAGTGTATGTGGAAAATATATTCCACGTATGGTTGTTGTGGGTTTTTCAGGCTCTTTGGCTGTGTTCTGAAGGTTGTTCTTCTTAACGTTTTGCCAGTCTCTGTGGTCAGCATCCTCAGAGGACAGGAGTCAGAATACCAGGGCAGACAGAGTTCTTCCTCCTGTCCTCTGAAGATGCCGGCCACAGAGACTGGCAAAATGTTAGGAAGAACATCATTCAGAACACGGCCAAAGAGCCTGAAAAACCCACAACAGCCATCAGATCCCGTCCATGAAAGCCTTCAACAATACATATTCCACATACATTATGAATGACAAATTCAACACCGCCATTTTATACATTGTCATTTTTCCAAAACACACCTACAATATTAGTAGATTGGCAAACCCACAGTGAATTATTTAGTTCTCACCTAGCTTGCTGTACAGTGATGACTGTCCAACAAAAGCTAGTCCAGGGCTAGGAATATGTGGATCTTCAGATGTCATAATTCTGTAGCTCCCATCAGTCCTAGCCAGCTTGTGATGATGTGAGTTGCAGTCCTCCATCACATCTGGAGTACCACACATTCATGGACATACAATGGAGAGCACTATGCATGTGATGTGGGCAGACACCGCTATGCCTGCTACCCTTGTCACTTCTTCCAAAAGTTAAAAGCAGGCTGAACTGTTGGACTGGGATGGAGAGATAACAGATTCAAGTCTCTGGAGAGCCATAAAAGTCATCAGGTAATCTTAGGATAGTCATTCTTTCTCAACCAACTTACCTTGCAGGTTTATCGTGAGAACAGAGTGAGGGAAAGAACAATGTACAAAGCCTTGATTTAACTAGAGGAAAGGTGAGATGTAAATGTAAGGAATTAATCACTCCGTTCCTTTTCCCCTCTCTCCTAACACAGGGATCGACCATTCTGAAAACATGACCAAGTGCTATTACAATGAGTCAGTCGAGTTCTTCTACAACAACAGTGGGAAGGAGCTATTCCATGAATGGAGGTCGAAGGATATCTTGGTGGTAGCTCTTGGTTTGACTGTCAGCATCATTGTGCTCCTCACCAACTTGCTTGTCATCACAGCCATTGTGATCAACAAGCGCTTCCACTATCCCATCTATTACCTCTTGGGGAACTTGGCCGCTGCCGACCTCTTTGCTGGCATTGCTTACATGTTCTTGATGTTCCACACAGGGCCTAGGACCGCTGGCCTCTCTCTCAAGACCTGGTTCATCAGGCAGAGCCTCTTGGATACCAGTTTGACGGCCTCCGTGGTCAATCTCTTGGCCATTGCCGTGGAGCGGCACCAGACAGTTTTCACCATGCAGCTCCACAGCAAGATGTCCAATCAGCGTGTGATGATCCTCATCTGCTGCATTTGGATTACAGCTCTGTTGCTGGGCCTCATCCCCTCATACGGCTGGCACTGCTTATGCCAGCTGGATGACTGCTCCCGGATGGCGCCCCTCTACAGCCGCAGATACTTGACTTTCTGGGCTCTCTCCAATCTCTTCATCTTCATTATCATGGTGATCGTCTATGCTCACATTTTCATCTATGTGAAGAGGAAGATGGCACGGATGTCGAAGCACACCACTTTCCATCCACGCTATAAGGACACTATGATCAACCTTATCAAGACAGTCATCATCATCCTCAGTAAGTAGAGGGAACCAGCTCTTGGTTTCCCTAAAATGTTGTGGTTTTCCTTCCCCTCCCCTTACAACCAGACTTTTCTCTTGGCCGTTAACTCAGTCTTATGGAGGAGTCGACTCATCAAATCCCAGTTGATTCAATAATACCTACTCTAGTCTAAAGCATTCAAAAAGCGTACTGATTGTATGCCACCTCATAGCGCTTAAAGCACTTTCTGGGCAGTTTGCAATGTAATTCTTTAGGCTACACATTGCCTCCTCCCCCAGCAAGCTGGGTTCTCAGTTTACCAACCTCAGAAGGATGGAAGCCGGAGTCAACCTCAAGCCTGCTGCTTGGGACTGGATGCAGGTCATGAGCAGAGTTTTAGCTGCAATATTGCAGTTTAACCACTGCACTATGAGTCACAATCTAATGTGACTTACTATGCTGAGCAACAGAATTAACAGCCACTCTATGTCATTTTGGGAACTTTGACTTACTATGCTAAGCAACAGAATTACAGCCACTCTGTGTCATTTTGGGAACTCTAGTGGCAGAAAAGTGACAGACAGATAAAACACATCTCAAAGACACCCAAGCTAGAGAAGAATGACCTTTCTTTTTATTTCTGTTTTCTGCTTGTATATATTTAACTTTTATCATTGGAGGAGGGGACAGTTTGTGACAACCTGACTTATTTAGTCACCAGAGAAAGACTAGCTGCCTTTTTTACTCTGCTCCTTCATATCCCCCCTTTTTGCCATCAGTGGCTGGCGTTTCAAGCCGCACTCCTGCTTTCATTTCAGTGGAGAAGTTAGCTTGCTTCTGTACTGTTGCCATTAGTCCTGGAGTGAGGAGTGGGCTACTATTATTGTTATCTGTTTATCCCTGGGCTGGGAAGAAAAGTGATACCAAAGACATGGATTGTTTGACGGTGCAACTACACTGACAAATAATAGGAAATGCTCTGAGATTCGGATGGTTTGATTTGTATTATTTTCTGTTGACTACATGATGTAAAAGTCAATGCAGTTCAGCCCAGAATTCTCCCTCAATTTGTAGGGTTTCTTTCTTCCACCACTGGGTCTCTACATTTTTTAGATTGAATGCATTTGCATTGGCTCAGGCGGTGTGATTGCTTAAGCTGCTGTGGAGGGGTTTGTAGCCGAAGTATTCAAATCTATTCCAGTCAGTTCCAATAGCAGTGAGAGAGGCAGGGCAGCAAGGAAACCTGGTTGCCATATGAATCCTGTCCTCCCCACATCTGGTGTTTTGGTCTGCTTTCATTTTCCTTTCTCTTCCTATTCAATTTCTTTCCTTTTTTCTTTGAAAGGTTTGCTAATCTAGCATGAGGGCAGTTAGGCAACCAAAGAAAAAGGAGTGAGGACTTGGCTGACAGAGAAGAGGAAGTTTTAAGGTAGTTTTGCTCTAACTGTGCTTCCTGCAGTTCTGAACAACCAGAGCAGAGCTGCCTTAACAAGCTGGAAAGAAGACTCACTTGAAAGCATCCTCTTCTCTCTCTTCTGATTCCTTGCTTCTTTGGCCACCTAGCTGCCCTAGCACTAGGATGGGAAACCTTTGGGGGGGAAAGGAAGAGGAGAGAACAGGAAGAGAAAAACAGATTGAGCACCAGATGTGGTGAGGAGAAGATTCAGATGGATAACAAGCTGTAAACAAGGCTGATTTCCTCGCCTCTGTGCTGACTCCTGTATGGTTAGCTGAAGTGAATTAACATCATAGAAACCTGTGACTTCACAGTGGATCAATTTACATGTTTTTCACTGTGTAGCTGCAGTCTAAGTGTTCATATGAGCAGTACAGCTTCTGGAGAGGCCACCTGATTCACAAAGAACATATGTTCAAGGGAACATATGAAAGAAGAAAGGGAGGAGGTGAGATTCTTAGAAATAGAAATGGCACCTTCAGTTTCTTCCTTTGGAAAAAAAAGTGGGAGGATTCTGCTTTCACATCGTGAGCAAAAAAGCAAGTGAGGAAGCATGCATCAATATGAATATAGCCGTGGCAGTGAATTTCTATATACAGTATTGCTTGCTATGAAACATAAGTGAGAGGGTGCTCTTGCACTTGTGTTTTGCTTGTGGCTTTCCCAGAATCAGCTGTTTCCCCACTGTGAGAAGCAGAATGCTGGAACAGATAGACTTTGATCTAGCAGAGCAGCATTCTTCCTATGCTCTTACCATGGTTCCTAGGCTGTCTCTGCTCTGAAAGTAAATCTCCCAAGTTCTCAGGCAGAGACATCCTGACCAGAATGGGCTGACTTCCTTTCAGCTGGAAAAACCGAAGGCTAAACCTGTTATAATTTTTGATTCAGGCTAAGTCTCTGGGACGCTCTGTTAGGAGATCCCTTTGTTAGCAGAGTGGAACAGCAACAGTGTTCCCTGTGAGAATTTAAGACCACTATTATCCAGTGATTCTCTGCCTTGGGTCCCCAGTTGTTCATGGACTACAACTCCCAGTAATCCTGGCCAGCATGACTAGTGGTGAAGGCATCTGGGAATTTTGGTCCAAGAACACCTGGGGAATCAAGGTTGGGAACCAGTGGTCTAGTGCTACATGGAGCAATAAACTAGGCAGAAGCTGAGATTAAAATAAAAGATTACTAAGTTTATTTAGAAATATATTTGATAGCTGGATAGAAGACCTTGTCTCAAGGCCTGAACACATGGCCTGGGTGTGGGGGCATAGCCCATCCTCAAGGAAGAAATGTTAATAGCTTGGGAAGGACAGGGTGGACAAGAAGTGGAGAATCTTTATTTCTTTAAGGGGCAGTAGGACAGTAACAGATACCCAATTATAAGGACAGATTCAGCCAACTCGTGTTCCCAGAATGCCTCTGTTGGGCATCATGAGTTGAGGTGAAAGAGAAGCGATGCTTGAGAAGTTTCTTCTGACAAAATCTAGTAATGTTAATAGCTTGGGAAGGACAGGGTGGACAAGAAGTGGAGAATCTTTATTTCTTTAAGGGGCAGTAGGACAGTAACAGATACCCAATTATAAGGACAGATTCAGCCAACTCGTGTTCCCAGAATGCCTCTGTTGGGCATCATGAGTTGAGGTGAAAGAGAAGCGATGCTTGAGAAGTTTCTTCTGACAAAATCTAGTGTCTGTAGCACAGAAAGCATGTTACCTGAGGCTGAGCTTAAGGTCCCTCCAAAGGAAGTGAGTTGCCTTGAAGCCTGCCTGCAAGATGGGAGCTTTTGAATGATTCATGTCTAGAGACCAAAAGCCGAGCTAGAAGGAATTGAAAGAGCTGGCTACTATGAGTCATGCAAATTGGCTTAGCGTTTGCAAGGAGCAGGCATAGGGAGATAGTTTGCCTTGGCCCAAGGAAGGCAGCAGGATAATGCTCTCTGCTTGAATTGAGATGGCATTGAGCCACCTGTTAACAGGTTTGCTCCAGAGATTCTGCCAAAGATTCTCAGCCTGAGGGCTTAAAATGGCAACCCAGGAGGATGCAATCAGGCCTCCTTACTCTGCTGAGGAAATCTCTTCGCTTTTGGTGTCCGCCGATATGTAGCAGGGTGTGCCAAAAGGTTTCTGGTATGGCCAGACAGTGAGGCTGAGGAAATCTCTTCGCTTTTGGTGTCCGCCGATATGTAGCAGGGTGTGCCAAAAGGTTTCTGGTATGGCCAGACAGTGAGGTGAGAAATATATGACTGTGTCAGAGGGAAAGTAAGTTTCATAACTTAACGAATTGAATATTCTACAGTTCTTCCTCTGCAGTTGACCCACATGTATTTTAGTTAATGACAGGCCTCTAAGTTTTTACGCCCATGGCATCATCAGCCACATACTAGTTCTTTAGAGGGCCCTACCATTAGACTAGTGGTTCCCAACCTGGAGTCCCCAGATGTTCTTGGACTACAACTCCCAGAAATCCTGGCTAGCACAGATAGTGGGGAAGGCTTCTGGGAGTTTTAGTCCAAGGACATTATGAGACCCAAGGTTGGGAATCACTGCATTAGATGGAGTGAGGCAGTTTTCTCCTTTTGCAGACGTTCAGTTGTCATGAAAGGGTAGTGCTTCAGTAATTACCTTATTTTTCTGTGTATAAGATGCCCCCCATGTATAAAACGCCCCATGGATAAGACCTCCCCACACTTTCTTTGCACCCAAGGTTGGGAATCACTGCATTAGATGGCGTGAGGCAGTTTTCTCCTATTGCAGATGTTCAGTTGTCATGAAAGGATAGTGCTTAGTAATTACCTTATTTTTCTGTGTATAAGATGCCCCCCATGTATAAAACGCCCCATGGATAAGACCTCCCCACACTTTCTTTGCAAAAAAAGTGGAGGGGGGATGCAGGGATCAAAGCGCTTTGATCCTTCCCCCCTTACTTCTGTGTATAAGACAACCCTTAATTTTTAATCTAAAGATTTTAGACAAAAGTATCGTCTTATACTTGGAAAATTACAGTATTTAGTTTGAATTCTATTTAGTGCATGGAGTTGTGATCATTGTAATCTGTTTATGTGGCTGCCTGTCTTTGATATCCATCTTGTCTTGGGTGAGTCTGATGGAAAGGAGTTCTATTTGCTGCTGTATTTGAAGCAAGACAAAAGTATCATCTTATACTTGGAAAATTACAGCATTTAGTTTAAATTCTATTTAGTGCATGGAGTTGCGATCATTGTAATCTGTTTGTTTATGTGGCTGCCTGTCTTTGATATCCACCTTGTCTTGGGTGTGTCTGATGGAAAGGAGTTCTATTTGCTGCTGTGTTTGAAGCAGTAAAAGTGTTTGGGCCAATCCTGTTCAAGAGCATTGGGTTTTGAATCTGTAGCTCTGGAGGGGAATGATAATTCAAGTTCTCCTGATGCAACCATTTTCGATGGAAGTGTTATGTCAAGGCTTAATCATGCCTCTCAGGAAAATGTACCTTGGGAAGGTTTTGAAAGAAGACTGCCAGAGCATGATAGTCCAAACAGAAGCTCTTCAGGTACAGTAAAACAGCTGCACTTGGTACCTTTCAGATCTCGGGCAGACTCTTCATTCTGCAGACA